TTTCACAGTACGGTATTACCTTTTTATTTTTTTCAGTCATTTTAGTGTATTTTTTAATAACTTGGTTTATTTTGATCTGTTGTTTCAAACATGTATCTGAGCAGCAGCACAGCAGCTCACATTATTTGGAATAAGGAAGGATTTCACATGAGTCAAACAGGAAGAAGACTCCGCAGTGACACATACAGACTACATACAGACTTTCAGATTCATACAGTCCTTATTTGATTTTCAAGAACACATATCACAGTACAAAAGTATTGTTGAATTTCACCCTCGTAAATGTTTTTGATCAAATATTGTCTACAATTGGTAATGGTTGGGTCAGACTAGAAAGGCTGGCGCTACCTTGTGCCTCCGCTCAATTTCATTTCTCTCCAGCGACTAGATCAGGAATCAGAATACATTAGACGGTTTGCAAGAACGCCTGAAGTGCGAGTTCGGGCACCAGCCAACGATTCCCAAGATCAAGGATTTAAAGCCGGAACAAAGAGAATGTTTGGTGAATTTTATCAAGGGGAAAGACATTATTGCCCTTCTTCCTAAGGGATTTGGGAAAAGCTTAATATACCAGTTAGCCCCGTTAGTGGCGCATTACATACGTCATGACCAAACAGAAATAAAATTAAATAAATACTCGCCCACCGTCAAGTGAATGAATTCTAATGCAGCGAGGTCAGACGGTTTCTACGAAGTGAAACCGGCTGATGAATCAGGCTAACGTCAGACTGCATCAAACCAGTGACTTTCTATAGTCACTGAGAGCACACAGTGGACTCTCAACAGTTTTGAATAGAAAAAATGCATTTTGCTGAGATAAATTTAGTTTAGGAAAACAAAAATTCTGTTCAGGATTTTGTGTGTGAGTTGTTTTGCAAATGCCAGATTTCAGTAGACAAAAGCACCTGAATATAAGCCGCATCATCTAAATTTTAACAAAATTTTTTAATTGTACATAATAGACCGAACCTGAATATAAGTCACAGGTGTTTACGTCTTCAAGAACTTTTTCAAGTTCAGGCCGTCTGCTTTTATCGCCTCTGAAAGTTTTTGTCGTCTTTTTGCATTGAGTCAGTTTGTCACGCTGCCGTCGCCAAAATCTCACCATCGACTCAATGATGTCAAGTTCACATGCAGCAGCTCCGTTTCCATCTTCAACAGCCACATCAGTCACCTTTAACTTGAAAGCTGCATTATCTGCATTTCTTTGTATGTTTTCCATGAGGAAGGTGTGTGTATAAAGCGCAAAATAAAACTTCCTTGGCGCATCACCCCCGTCTCTCCCCACGTTCTACTGCGCATGTCTCTTGCAGAAAGAGCCTCTGTCCTGTCTGTATCATGTCAGTGTCTTGGAGGATTTCAGCATATTTCTGCACTCAGGCTGCACATGTATCCGCTGTGTTACCAAACCATAGACCGTATATATGAATGGAAAAACAAATAATCCGTCCATTTAGTAGCTGCAGGGTTCAAAGTGTGAGAAAAAAGTGGTGGCTTATAGTCCGGAATTTACAGTAACAATTAACGGATGTGCACCAAGACATTAGACTTTTAATGAACAAACCCACAGTCGTTACAATCGTCCCATGGTCCGGATTTCGAACCGGAGCTGCTGCGGTTACACAAACAGGTGACAGACTCCCAACCAAAAACTTACATTGCGCGTCTTTAATGGTCACACATAAGAAACTTGGAATAAACTTAATAAATGTTGACCAAATCTCACAGTGGGTTCAGTGAAAAGCCGTCGGTCCACTTCCACACTCCCTCCGTTTCAGAGTCTGACAGTCCGATCCAGAACTTATCTTCAGCGTCCGACATTAAAGACCTCACTTTACCATTCAGGAACTTCTAAACACACAAACACACACACACAAAAACTAAAAACACAATAACATGATGTTTTGTACTAATATTTGGATAATTTCAGCCCTGAAGTTGCCAATCTCTACTGAACTAAAGGTAAAAGGTTAACTTAAAAACTACTTCTACATGACATCACATGTGTGCGCCTTAGAGATGTAGACAGACTAATAATAAAGGTTTACTCAAACATGTCTGAATGAAACAAAACACAACTCTAAACTAAAGAAACTAAAAACACAAACTCAGAAAACTAAACAAGTCTCAGCGGGGACAGCGGCACAGGTTGAAGTACTCATGAAAGCTCTAAAAGCTTTTGCATTTGGCAGTGAAGGAAAAATGTTAAAATGTAAACACAGTTTCAGCGTCTGTTCACTTAGAGCAGTTGTTCCTAAATGTTTTTGAGTTGTGTACTTCCCAATTGTGCGGAGGGGGAGTTTACTTCAGCCTGTTATCGACGTGTGTCCAGGATTTTTGAGTCCCCCCCTCCCATGTGCCGCATGGACCATCCCCCCTCCTGTACGCTGTGCGCACCGTCCCTCCTCTCGTACGTTCACACAGGCTGCACCACTAAACCAGAACTATACCAGGTCTAAAGCAGGTCTAAAATCAGGTCTAAAACAGGTTTAAAAACAGGTCTAGAACAGGTCTAAAACCAGGATTTAGCCAGGACTTAACCATGCCACCGGACCGCCCACTGTGCCTCCTCCCATACAGTCACGGAATATTGTCTGATATAAAACTGAACCGTGGCACAAAAAAGGTTGGGGACCACTGTTTTTAGACAATTCCTTTCCACTTCTCCGTGTTTGATAGAGCTTAAGAAAGTGAACATCCCCATCTTGAGGGATTTGCGGGCGGGAGCACGACTGAAAATTACAATTCTTTGCGGAAGCAGGACTGAAAATTCTGTCCCGCGCAGACCTCTACCCTCCAGGTCTATCACGTCCCACTGGGCGGTGCCTGTACCACAGTTTGAGAACCACTGCTTGATAGTGAGCGTACAGTACCTGCTCTAACATGCTCTCGATCTTCACCAGGAGTCCACCATAAAGTTGACACATCTGACTGCTCTGACTCCATGTGAATTTGTAGGGAGAGAACAAGTAGCACTTTCTTCCATGAAGATCCCAGCCGATATCACAGGAGAGTTGGACTGGACATGAAGGAACTGGTGGGACAATTTTGAAGTTTTGTGGTTATGATTATGATTATTATGATGATGATTACTATTACTATTATTAAAGGGGAAATATCATGCATTATTGTAGCTTTAATTGGCGTTAAACATGCTTTTGGGCACCTTTAAAGAATCTATCTAACAAACTGTAAAAACTAAAGCTTTGTTTCCAACTTTCTGTTTAGGCGTTGGGCTGCCCTCTACTGTCTGCAGTGAGTATCTGCAATTTAAAAAACAAAAACGCAGCCATCAGACACTATGACCAGTGCTAACAGAGCCATGCATCTGAGGTGAACGCATCTTGAGTGCAATTCTCAGGACTTGGTTTATGGACTTTAAAACTGCACACAAAACTTCTGGGGTCTGTTGTCTGAGTCTCAAACAGAATCAACAAAAGGCCTGGAATGTTCCACAGTGTGACATTAAACTGCTCTACCTTACATTTCTTCGATTACAGGTGGTTTTATTGCTCAAAAATACCTAGAAAAAGTTTTATACCGTATTATGAAACATTCCAGACACAGTAATAAACGTCTCTTTGGGGAAAATAAATTGATGAACCCTCCATCAGAAAAGTCCAATGCACCTTTAACGAAGCCGATTTGCTTTTTTATTTGTTGAAAATCGAAAACATGGTTAAAAAGCTCAAAAAGTTAAACATTTCGCATGATACGTCCCCTTTAATGTCATGGCCAATACCTGGCAGTCGGAGCGGTGTCTGTCCTACACGGTGACGGAGGAGGAGGAGGAAGAAAAGGTGGAGGGCAAGATGGAGGAGGAGTGGGAGAGGGGCAAGTGCGGGGAGGGGGGCACGGTTTGGGACGGCGAGGAGGGGGGCAGGTTGGGGGAGGGGCAGGGGGAGTTCAAGGTTTAGGACGGAAAGGACGGCGAGGAGGGGGGCAGGTTGGAGGAGCGGGAGGAGGAGGACAGGTGCAGGTGTGAGGAGTGGTTAGTTCGGGTGCCACTGTGATCTGGTTTGTTGTTGACTGATGTTTACTTGCACATTCTTTGGTGTGAACTGTGTGAAAAATGACAAAAAAAACATTAAACATACACCAACATTATACATTAAAGATCCTATGTTACGATATTTGACTATTCTGCCCATGAACTCATGTTTGGTCACGTGAATGAATATCGTGAAAAATATTGAGCTCAAAATTGCCCTTGGACCCTTATTTGTAAGTTGCTGTACTCTGCCTTTGTATCATGAGCCAAAAATAAGGAGTCGTGCAAAGAAAAAGTAGTAATAACTCTGTATGTTTTGTTTGTGATTTAATAAATAAATACATTTTATTTTAAAATCCAACCTCTCGCCTCCTTCTTTTTGTTGAGGCCTTGGCACAGGGTCTTAACACATTCAATAAATATACCTTTGTATTCAATTATACTATAAATTATTATAAATGATCTTTAATGTGGAAGTATTTTGTGTAGTTATTCATACTGTAAATATTATACTGCAAAGTCAAACTGTTTAACTGTGAAAGTGTCGCCGCTCGATCCTTATCAGCACTAAACAGGAAATCCAAAGCTCTGCTATATCATTTCAAACAAACACCATGATGACTCGACCTTGGTGTGGTGTTCTTATAATGCAGACATGTCAAACTCAGGCCCAGGGGCCAAATTTGGCTCACGACAGAATAAAATTTGGCCCTCGAGATCATATGAAATATGTATTAGAGCTGGCCCACTGGCTACAGATAGACTATAAAGACATTATTTATTTAATATTGTATTATTATTTTATATTATGCTTGTTCTGGATTGAATGTTTAAGCAAAACTATTATTAAACATTTATTTTAATAAGAAAAGGTTTAACATTACAGATCTCGAAAGAAGAGAAAACAGATGTTGTTCAAAAGTTTCAATAAATATTTAGTTTGGCCCACGACTTAGTCCCAGTTTTTAATTCTGGCCTCTGTGAATTTGAGTTTGACACTGCTGTTATAATGGATGGAAACCTGGGAAAAATCAAGCAAATAATAATGATCATGTCAGTTACTTTTGCCTTTTGTCTTTGCACGACTCCTTATTTTTGGCTCATGATACAAAGGAAACTGCCAAATAAGGGTCAAAGGTCAAGTTTGAGCTCAATATTTTTCACATACAAATGTTTCTTCATTGAGGGACTAGTTGTCATATTTTGGGAGCCCTGTCATATAATTTTTTCTCGGTTTCACACTCTGCAGAGTTAAGCTCTTCTGCCTTTCTAGGGTAATATTGTGAGGTTTAAGTCATGTTACAGTGTTGTTACCTCCTCAGAAACAGACCCGGAGTTGTGTTTTGTTTCATTCACACATGCTTGAGCAATCTTATATTATTTATTTATTTATTAAGTGAACTGTTACCATTTTACCTTTTGTTCAGTTGAGATTATTTGAAAATATTCAAAAGATTCTAGTGAAGGTGTATAGAGTTTAAAAACATAATCAACCACTCAAACTGTATTCATAAGGCACTTTTCAAACAAAAAAGTAACACAAAATTACTTTAAACTTTACAGTGATTACAAACAATCCCACATTTCCTTCCCTTCCAGCCACCCACCCCCACACAACCAAACAACACACACACACACACACACACACACACACACACACACACACACACACACACACACACACACACACACACACACACACACACACACTAACATGCTAAAATACATAAAACTACACATAGTAAAATGTAAGGCTGTATTACCACATGACATCACAAGGTGGAACAGCTTGTTTTCTGTTTGAGAGAAGAAGAACTCTGAGCCTGAAGAGCCTGAATATGCAGGGTTTGTGTGTTAAACATGTGTGAATGAAACAAAACACAACTCCAGCTCTGTTTGTGATGAGGAAACAACATTATAACTAGTGTTGGGAAGGTTACTTTTAAAATGTATTCCCCTACAGATTACAGATTACATACCCCAAAATGTAGTTTGTAACGTAATCCATTAAATTACTTAAAGTGAGTAACGTAATCTGAATACTTTTACTATTTTTACTCGGATTACTTGATATTGTCAGGCTTTTTAAAACGACATGAACGTAGCAAACACATCCTGATAGAGAAATGATTTTTATATGAGATCACTGCTGCCCTCAATTATGTCCACCCTACTGTTAAGTGTCATATTGTTTAGACCTGGTTTAGTCCTGGTTTTAGACCTGGTTTTAGTCCTAGTTTAGTCTTAGATTAGTCCTGCTTTTAGACCTGGTTTAGTCCTAGTTTAGTCCTGCTTTAGTCCTGCTTTTAGACCTGGTTTAGTCCTAGTTTAGTCCTGCTTTAGTCCTGCTTTTAGACCTGGTTTAGTAGTACTTTTAGACCTGGTTTTAGTCCTAGTTTAGTCCTGCTTTAGACCTGCTTTTAGACCTGGTTTAGTCCTGGTTTTAGACCTGGTTTAATCCTGATTTAGTCTTGGTTTAGTTTAGTCCTGGTTTAGTCCTGGTTTTAGTCCTGGTTTTAGTACTGGTTTAGTCCTGCATTTAGTCCTGGTTTAGCCCAAAATGTGAAAACAGGAAAATACCGCCCTGTAATCCATTTATTTCAACAAAGTAACTGTAATCCAATTACCACTCACTGAAACAGTAACTGTAACTGAATACAGTTACTCATAATTTGTACTCTGATTACGTAATCCCGGTACAAGTAATCTGTTACTCCCCAACACTGATTATAACAGATCAGAAAATAGCGTAACATGAGCTCTTTAAAGTCAAATAAGCAGATCACATTTAAAATCCGTCCCGTGTGTGTGACTCACAGAAGAGGGAGACTCCATCGAAGACATAAGCAGCGATCAGAACCACAGCCAGAACCACAGCCACTCTCAGCACTGTCACCTTCACCCTGCACCCACAACACCCTCCTGCACAAACAACTGGACTTTTACTCACTTTAAATAGTCCTATATTATACAGAATTGACTCTTTTGAGCTTTAAGACATGTTATAATCCTGATACCTTGAATTGTGTTTTGTTTCATTCACACATGTTTGAGAAATACTTTATTATTAATGTGTTTACATCTCCAAAGCTCAAAATTTTCTGGTTCATGTCATGTGGCAGTTTTTTTAAGAGAACAGCTCCTTTTACCTTTAGTTCAGTAGAGATTGGCAACTGATATCGGTGATTGTGCATGTGTGTATTAGCTGTAAAATTAACTTCTGACAACTGAATCAGAGATTTATCTTTTTTGCCTTGCATATGCCACGTGGACCACACCTCTAAACCAGGACTAAACCAGAACTAAAATCAGGACTAAACCAGAACTAAAATCAGGACTAAACCAGAACTAAAATCAGGACTTAAACCAGGACTAAAATCAGGACTAAAACCAGGTCTAACCCAGGACTAAACCAGGTCAAAACCAAAACTTAAACTGGGATTAAAATCAGGTGTAAACCATGACTAAACCAGGACTAAAACCATGACTAAACCAGGACTAAAACCACGACTAAACCAGGTCTAAACCAGGTCTAAAACAAGGACTAAAACAAGGTCTAAACCAGGTTTAAACCTGGACTAAATCAGGACTAAACCAGGTCTAAACCAGGACTAAACCAGGACTAAAACCAGGACTAAAACCAGGTCTAAACAAGGTCTAAACCAGGACTAAACCAGAACTAAAACAAGGTCTAAATCAGGACTAAATCAGGACTAAACCAGGTCTAAGCCAGGACTAAATCAGGTCTAAACCAGGACTTAAACCAGGACTAAACCAGGTCTAAACCAGGACTTAAACCAGGACTAAAACCAGGTCTAAAACCAGGCCTAACCAGAACTAGTGTGAATGAAACAAAACACAACTCCAGATCTGTTTGTGATGAGGAAACAACATTATAAAAGAAAAACAAAATGGCAAAACATGACCTCATTAAAATTCAAAAAGGATTTCAGGTTTCCATTTAGAAATGAGATACTTTCCACGTGAAGCAAAGATAATTATTGTATTTACATATCGTGGAAATATTGCCAATATAAAAGCTGAAAAATAAATAAAATACAGTCTTACCTTTGTTTTTAGTAGCTGCTGGAACATTGATGTATGAATGTGTTTGATTTTCAGACATCTCGACTCCTCACAAATCCACAACTGAGCCTCCAGCCGATGACGTTCACTGAATTAAAGTTAAAAATGTTTCTGTCATTGATTTCCTTAAAAGTACATGTTAAACACTTCCTCATTTTATTAATGGAATTTAGGTTGTGAGTAAAAAAAAACACAAGGTTGCAACATCTTATAACATCTTATATAAAGCAGGGTACAACAAACTAGAAAGAAAGGTTTTGCTTTATTTACTTTTTTAAATTTTGCTAGTAAGAATCATTGTCTTTTTCAACATTGTGTATAATTTTAGTAACAGTGGTATTTGGTGAGAGGAGGCCACACAACCACACAACTTCTTTTATTTAATTTCGATTATTTCAGTCTACAGATACAGATTGAAGTTGAGGTTCTTGATTTTCCATTAGAAGAGGAAGTATGCTTTTTTTTATCTGTCTGTCTTTGATTCTGTTACAAACCAGTGCTTGCGACAAAGGAAAGTAACAGAAACAAGACCTGAGAGTGAAAGAAAGTGATTTTGATTATGTGGCTTTTATACAGTATATATAAGTAATTGTAAGTACAATAACAACAAAGGGGTTTTACACACTCCTGTTTCTGTTATATGTTCTTCCCCTGGGCTCAATTATACACCAATTTAGTGACGTCACGTACCACCTTTTTGCGGATGACATTCAACTTTACTGCTCCTTTAAGACCTCAGAAACCATAAGCTGACATCTTTACTCAGCTGTCTGTCACATGTTATACAGTGGTTCAGTGATAACAACTTCAGCTGAACTCAGGCAAAACCGAGACTCTATGGGCCCGATCTTCCCCCATCAGGTGGAGTGGAGCAGACTGAGGGTGTGGTGCCAGAACCGTAAAAATAAATATTAAATGAGTTCACTGAAAAACAACATGTAACATGCACAAGACTTAATTTTATTTGGAAATATATTAGAATGATAAATGCTTAACATTTATAACGTGTTCGTGTTCAGCAGAGCACAGCCCCTCGCTCGCTCCCTGTATCGGCTCAGCTCTGCTCTATAGTTTGGTTTGATCTGGATCTGTACAAAAGCTGCTCCTTCACATGAGGCCGTTTACAGCGACTCTGTCTGTGTCTTAATGCTGCGATGTCGATTTCCTCACATTCTCGTTAACGGACTCTGACTGGGATCAGCGCACGCAATCACTGAGCACGGGGCTGTGCCAGTGAAGCGGACACACATCCGTTATATGACAATAAATGTGTTCCATGATCCGCGGACACCCGTGAGACGAGAATGTGAGTGGTCAGTGGGAGCAGCGATGCGCACTCGTACCTCAGGTGAGAGACACAGGAGCAGACTCTGCAGAAAACAGTGGGTCTGCTGTGGGACGGGCAGCGCATGAGGTAGACACTGGTCTGCTGCATCATGGGAGGAAAACGAATGCAGAGAAAACTATAAAAGGTTGACGTGTGTGCGCGTGCATGGGCTTACAGCAGTGTGCGTGTCTGAGAGGAGCGCATGTGCGCGCAGTGTTCAGAACACAAACCCAGTCAGTTCTGTCACGGCACATCTAATCTTCTATATTCCTTGCGCCTCTGCTGGTGTGTACTGGCATCGTGAGGCTCTGGAGCTGTTTTATTGTAATCATATATAACTCCTCCCCACACTCCTCTTTGCTGTCTGATAATGAGGCAAAGATTACAGACTTTACCCACACTGGCGGTGCGTTTAAATGCCACAGCGGTCACAGATTGGTTCAGATGTCGTCGCCATATTTGTACTTGTACTGTCCCACTCCAGCCTCCAGCAGTGAAGTACAGCCCCACATGGACACGCACACTCCTTAATGCTAGCACTAGTGCTAAGATTGGGCGCAAGATCGGGCCCTTATTGTTGCTCCAGAAAGAGCTGTCCCCAACATTAAACAGTGAATCAGTCACTGAATCTAAGTAGTTAGCATAACGATTAGCATCACGAAATTAGCATATGATTAGCGAGCAAATCTACATAACAATGACACACGGAAAACGTGCTAACAAGTACATTTCAAACACAAAAGGCAACATTACAGGTGTATAATTATGTTTCACCATGTAATATTTACAGACAATGCTTAAACAAACACCAAAAGGAAACATCAGAACAGAAGAGCCGACATTTTGCTGAAGTGAGGCCTGAACAACAACTTCCTGTCTAACGTTCTTCCTCTACTATTATTAAAAGAGTAAATGAAAGTCAAATACAGTAAACATAAACTCCCTACACAGATACAAACAAGACAAAACAGTGAAGCCAAGAGTCACTGCAGATGAAACACACAACATTTAGGACAGTTTTTTCATTCGCTGTGGTGTATTTGTCTATAGAAAATGTACATTTGCAAAACAGCTCACACGAAATCCTAAAGAGAATTCGAGCTATCCAAAACAAAACTTGTATGTGACACTGGAGTTCACACTTTACACAAATTAATTTGATGAAAAGCTGTATTGTATTTGTAAATAAAATATATTTAACTTAAAAATAAATGTACACTACAGGATGTTGTGTCTGATTTAGGCTGCAATTATCTGAAATTTTGCACCACATTTCATAAATAATAATAACACAGTTTCAACTTGTAACTAAACTGGAAGTGCAATGCTCTGATATTTAGAACATTTAAGAGTCTCAAAGCGAGTTGTTTTACTCAAGACGAGAAACAGCTGATGCGATGTGCTTTCTTAACTTTGAATCCTGTGGTCCACAGCCAGATCCTGCAGCAGTCTTTGCAATCACAGATTAAACTCTCATCAGAATCTCCTCATGTCTGTGGTGTGACAGCGCAGCTCAGAGGTTTTAGTTCTTCTCTCAGTCGCCACACAGAAACACTGGTTTTGTGTAGTTGGAATAGCAAATACATCAATATTACTTTTGTACTGTAATGCGGAATGTTCTTGAAAATCAAACAAGTCCTGCATGTATCTGAAAGTGTGTGTGTTGTACACATGTACTCACTGCTGAGAGCCTTCTCCCTGTTTGACTCATGTGAAATACTTTGTTAGATTTTTGGTGCTCACTCATTTTGATTTGCTGTTCTAGTTGAGTTTCTATATTAAAAGTGACAGAGTTTGGGCCAAAGTCCTTTAATATGTGAGAGTGTTGAAAAAACAAGGTGAATTCACTGATGATGTGTGTTTGTGAATGAGACCTGTGTCCAGTGTTCTGACAAAGAGTCTGAGAACTGAACTGATGAGAAATGTTCCAAATGATGTTGAGCACCTGTGACCCTGTTCAGACCGGCCTGCAGGTGTGAATCAAAAGATCAAACTAAACCAAGTTTAAATGCTAAAACAACTGAAAAAAATAAATGTGTACAATATTTCACAATCATTTAGCGAACAATAAAAGCAATTTTCTCATCTTTGCTTTTTAGCAGATGGTATCTAAACTGTGTCTTAAACAGAACTCAGTTCAAACATTTACATTTTAACAAAGACCAAATCCACTATAAATGTTTATCTATTACCTGCTCTTTTCTGCTGTTTATCTTCACCATGTGTCCATCCAGAGTTACACATTTCTCCTCGCTCTGGGTCCATGATAATTTATTTGTGGAGAAATAATAACACTTTGGTCCATTCAGCTCCCAGCCACTGTCACACTGGTATGTACATGGAACTATGGAGACAGAGTGAAATAATCAGTATTAACTTAAAATTTATTTATTTGTTTATTTGATTTGACCATTACCTGGGCTTGCAGTAGTACTTTTAGTAGTTGTAGTAGAAGCCGTAGTAGTTGTTGTAGTACTAGTAGTATTTGCTGTTGTGTTTGTTGTTGTCAGAGCTTCCTTGTATTCTTTGTTGTTTACTGTTTAAAGAAAGAGTTTTTTGCAGTGTACAGTCATAATGTGCAAAATAGGACAAATATTTTCTTTTAAAATACCTGTGACAGGTTGGACCACTTATTTTATTAAAACTTTGTTAAGATCATTTTTAAGATTTTGCAAACCATTTTACCATGTTTAAAAGTAAAAGAAAAAACATGTTTCTTGCATGTAAAATGTGCCAAAAATTAAGACAGAATTCTAGTCTAAGTTTTAGAACTCTCGATTTCCTGTAATTTCCAAATTATTTTTTAACTGAATTGCTTATTGATTTGTGTAAATATATATGGCATGTATATATATGTCATATATTTACAACAGCTATTATCCCACCAAATTAAGTCAAAATGAGAGAATTATCAAAACCTGCCATACACACTTTAAACTTGCTAGTAAAATACTCAGTGGAACTAAACCAGGACTAAAGTTGGACTAAAGTGGCTATAACCAACTGAGATCAAACTGAGACCAGTTAAACCAGGACTAGAACTGGACCAGACCAGGTCTACATCAGGACTAAACTGTTATTATTGTTGTGACATAAAATGTCTGATCTCACAGGTCATTTTAACAAAATTTTTTTTAATGAAAAGTTGCGATTTTCTAAATCACACTGTGTTGTATAAAACAAAGTAGGTGGGGCTCTTTCTGTTAATTGTAATGTTGAATATATTATTCCAAGTAAAATGTTTCATTTCAATGCATATTTTAGCTGTGGACAGAAAGTTTTTGTGTTTTGTAGAGTTTGTGTCTTTTTTGAAGGTTGAAACAAAGCAGAAAGAAGCAGCACACTGCTCCTCACAGAGCCACAGCAGAGGTCAGTGTGTGTGGCCTCTCAGACTGCACCAGGACTGGACTGGGACAAGAAATCACACCTGGACTTTTTGGTCTGGACCGGGCCCCTGCTCCATTAGTTAGGATATAAAATAAGTTCAACAGGCCCCTGTTAGGACCCTCAGCGTGTGCTTGTTGTGAACGCCCCTGGAGGCTCAGAGCTCAGAGTTACAGTGTGAGCACAGGACAGCAGTGAGTCTCAGGGGTCTGAAGTGGCCCCTAAACACAATGAACTCATGTTTTATGTCCCGCTTAAAGATAACAGCTTTTGTTCCTCTTCTGAAATCTCATATACTCTGTGTGCGTCTGCAGTGAAATGATCTAAAAATAACCAAAAAGTGCCTTGGCCACTGGGAAAAGTCCCGGGGCCACAGATGCCCAGCCCTGGTTGTGTGTGGAGTTTATGTGTTTAGTCCAACTTTACATTTGAATTTGTGTGTGACTCACAGAAGAGGGCGACTAACCTAAATTTCAAAGTAGAACACAAAACAACTTTATGGAAATACATCTAATGACTGCTTAATTGTTTTCTGTACAAGATCATCCGGATCATAACACTATTTTAACATCAGGAATTATTGTATTTTTCAGACTATAAGTCGCTCCGGAGTATAAGTCGCACTTTTGGGGGGAAATTTATTTTATCAAATCAGAGACCAGGAACTGACATTTCATTTTAGTAGAACAGAGAACAACAGACATATATGAACAGTTCTTCAGATAAACTATAACATAAACAACAGAACACAACATATTTACCAAACTCTCCATCTCACTCCAAATCACTAAATCCATTAAATTCTTCATCCTTGGTGTCACTTCAGAGCAACTCCACGACCTCTGGAGGTAAACAGAGCGCCACTTCCTCTTCTGTGTCGCTGTCGTCAGACTCAGCATCAGTTCCAGTTAGAATTATTCTGGCCTTTCTGAATCCCGACAGGATGGTTTCAGTGTCACTCCAGGTTTTCTCGATCCATCCAGTGACTTCCAGGAAAGTTTCATGGCGTCACAAGTTTCTCGCTCACTCCAAACTTTCTTTCTGCTGCTCGATTACTGTTTTCGGCTGAATATTTCGCTACTTGCAGCTTGTAATCTGCAAAATATGATTTTCTTTCTGGGGGCATTTGTGTTCAATCTTCTCAGTTGTCTTAATAAGTTTGTTTAAATTGGTACAGAAATGATGGTGCGATGGACTGACATGATACAGACAGGACAGAGGCTCTTTCTGCAGGAGACATGTGCAGTAGAGCAAAGTGACAGTGGTGCAGGAGGAACAGGAGCAGCAGATACTGACACGCAAGACTAGAGCCTCTCATTGCTTCAGTGTGAAAATTTTTATATGTAAGTCGCCTCGCAGTATAAGTCGCAGGAAACACCCAAACCATGAAAAGAAGTGTGATTTATAGTCCAGAAAATTCATCATTTAAATTTGAGTTCACACTCGCATTAGCTTCAAAACACAAAGACCAACTTTTCTAAACACAGAAGCTTCCTCCACTGAAGTATTTACATTGTAGAAAACACATTGTCTTTGATTATGTATGTGTAACCTGCTGTCCTCTGTCTGATATTTAAATGTGGATTTATTTGAGCACAACTCGGCTAATTCCCAATAAACAATGACAGGAGCAGGAAATGTGGCTCTGCAGTTTGTGACAGAACCAGAACTAGTCGTGAATAGGGCCTATTAGCATTTGAGACGTGTGAGACATGTTTATTTCTGTGGTCTATACTGGAACAGCAGAGGTTAAAGATGCATTATGTAACTTTAGGTGTCTCCATGACGATATTGGTGTGCTTGGAATGTTCCTGCAGTGTGGCATGAACGTGTTGAAGCTAAAAACAAAAACTGTGAATATGTTTTAATTTTGATCTTGGGACTGTGACAGAAACACAACCACCTGCATCTCTTGTCTTTGGTCATTGCAGCTTCTTTACTGGACAAAATTAAAACACATTAAACCAGGACTAAATCAGGTCTAAATCAAGTCTAAATCAGGTCTAAACCAGGATTAAACCAGGATTAGATGAGGACTAAACCAGAAGTAACGTAGAACTACACCAGGGCTAAACCAGATCTAAATCAGGACCAAACCAGGACTAAACAAGGACTATACCAGGATTAAACCAGGACTAAATCAGGACTAAACCAGGTCTGACCACTGCAGACGAGGAACACCCCACAAGAGCTGCAGTTTTGGAGATGCTATGCTTATTTACATTCATTTTTACATTTATTTCTATATCAGTCTGTTGGATTTGGTCTTAGAGGGGGAAAAAAACGGCCATCAGTAATTATTATTTATCTTTTTATTTTTATTTTTAATCGGTTAATGCAGATAGAGCCATCAGAGAAATCCACATCCAAAATCTTACAGTGACTTTTAAATTTTTTTAACAACAAGTAAGTTATAAAGAGCTTATACACATATGTACATTTTTACAACATAGAATAATAACAAAGTTTAGCTCAAACTCCAGTCAATACAATAACATAAAGAGAATATTAAAATGGGACTAAACACCTGAACTCTGCCCACAGTCACGGTCCAGACAAGATCCAAAGTGGGCAGTGCCTGGACGACTAAACGGGAAAGTAGCTGTAAACTGGAAATGAATGAGTTTGTATTAAAATGGTAAAAAGAATAAACTAAAGAAGTTTAATGTAATTTCTATTTTATACAGTTTGGTTTCTTCTCACAGATGTATCGCTGGCGTGAGTTGCAGTGTTTATCAAACCAGCATTTGTACTCATAGCCAGCTGCTTTCTCTCCCATCCTCACACAGTCTTCTCCTTCTGGATATTTATTGTTATATGTCCAGTTGTCCGGTTCAGTTTGGGCTCCATTTTTAAACCAAAATGTTAAACTAAACCAAAGAAACAAAGGGGACAGTTCAGTCATATTCACAGGGGAATATTCAGAGTTTTTTCATGGCACAATGTTTAAATCTAAATCATTTCAACTGTGTATTTTTAGTGGTTAAATCTTACTCTGTGTCCAGTAAAGAGCCGTCGGTCCATTTCCACAGACCCTCTGACTCAGAGTCTGTCAGTCCGATCCAGAACCTGTCTTCATTCTCTGTCATTAAATTTCCCAGTCTTTTATACAGAAAACTCTAAAACAGAAAATAAAAGTGTTTAGTGTCAAAATGAGTCTCGATTTAACAATAAGTTTCATTCTTGTTCTCGATGGCAGCGATCAGTACAGAAAACAGAAGGACCTGCCTTAAATTGTTTTTTAGATACAACAATCTGAAAGTGTCTCCTTGAACAACTCTGCTCAAAACAGGTCAGGGGGGAGTTGACAAAATATCTTTTAATGACAAAACTATAAGGAGTTGGGTGATAAAATCTGGGACTTTTCCCATTGGAAAGTGTGTGAAGCTCCTAGAATTTTTTCAGTCAAATCTGAGATGGTCGGATGGGGACATTCGGAGATTTGGTGTGGAATGACCCAGAAATCTCCAAACACAAACCACAAATGTGAACTATTATTCTTAGTAATTCACAACAGACTGTGTAAATGGACATAGTTAATGCAGTAACATCCCAAACAGGAAGTGAGCACGGGCATGCTTCTGGCTCCATCATCTCTGATCTAGTTCACTTTCTATTGAAAACTGCTGCTGTGAGCCTCGTCGTTTTGGTTTTAAAATGTTTGTATTAACCTGCTCCACATGATCCTGGTCTTTTTATTTCGCTGTTTTGTACATAGATCAATACAAATCAGGAGACTTCTTTTCCCAAAGTTGCTCTCGCTAGTGTTAGCAGCAGGTTTGATTGACAGCGCTGGGAAGGGGCGTTACCTTCAAGAGCCTCGTTCAGGATTGGCTCTTTGGTTGTTATGATACTCGTGGTCCGAATTCTAAATATGGAACTCAGCTCCAGATTCACCGCTATAACTGCAGCCTCAATGAGCTTCATTTGACTGGAGCTGAATGCTGTGGGTGACGTCACACTCACTTAATCCACTTTTTTATACAGTCTATGAGCTCAACAAACAGAAATGTTGTGAGTCTTTGTGATCAAATACAACTTCTTCAAACCTACAATGTTAAATTTTGAGCCATTTTTGTTTCACATGAAAAATCCAGTAATTACAAACATATTAAACATAAACCAGGTCAAAACATTTACATTATAACAAAGACCAAATCCACTATAAATATTTATATATTACCTGCTCTTCTCTGCTGTTTATCTTCACCAGGTGTCCACCCAGAGTTACACATTTCTCCTCGCTCTGGGGTCCATGTTAATTTATTTGTGGAGAAATAATAACACTTTGGTCCATTCAGCTCCCAGCCACTGTCACACTGGTATGTACATGGAACTATGGAGACAGAGTGAAATAATCAGTATTAACTTAATATTTATTATTTATTTATTTGATTTGACCATTACCTTGGGTGGTAGTAGTACTTTTAGTAGTTGTAGTAGAAGCCGTAGTAGTCGTTGTAGTACTAGTAGTTTTGCTGTTGTCTTTGGGGTTGTTGTTGTCAGAGCTTCTTTGCATTCTTTGTTGTTTACTGTTTAAAGAAAGAGATTTATGCAGTGTACAATCATAAGTTGGACCACTCATTTTATTAAAACTCTGATAAGATCATTGTATTTAAGATTTTGCTAAATATTTTGCCAATAATTCCACCACTGTTACCTAGCAAGTTTTTTTATTTCTTTATTTCTTTATTTTGTCTTAATCATGTTTACAAATAAAAGAAAAACATGTTTCGTGTGTGTAAAATGTGCCAAACGTTAATTCTCCCTCGTGTCATATCATCATAAGTTTTAGAACTCTCGACTTCCTGTAATTTCTAACTTATATTTTAACTGAATTGCTTATTGATTTGTGTAAAACTGTCAAATATTTACAACAGCTATTATTTCACCAAATTACATCAAAATAAGGTAATTTTCAAAACCTGCCATACACACTTTAAACTTGCTAGTAAAATACTCAGTGGAACTAAACCAGGACTANTTTTTGGCTGCATATTTCGCTAATTGCATCTTGTAATCTGCAAAATATGATTTTTTTTCTGGGGGCATTTGTGTTCAGTCTTAAAAGTCTTTAAATTGGTACAGAAATGATGGTGCGATGGACTGACATGATACAGACAGGACAGAGGCTCTTTCTGCAGGAGACATGTGCAGTAGAGTGAAGTGAAGTGACAGTGGAACAGGAGGAACAGGAGCAGCAGATACTGACACACAAGACTAGAGCCTCTCGCAGCTTCAGTGTGAAAATTTTAATATATAAGTCGCACCAGAGTATAAGTCGCAGCACCACCCAAACCATGAAAAAAAGTACAGTCATTTAAATTTGAGTTCACACTCGCATTAGCTTCAAAACACAAAGACCAACTTTTCTAAACACAGAAGCTTCCTCCACTGAAGTATTTACATTGTAGAAAACACGTTGTCTTTGATTATGTATGTGTAACCTGCTGTCCTCTGTCTGATATTTAAATGTGGATTTATTTGAGCACAACTCGGCTAATTCCCAATAAACAATGACAGGAGCAGGAAATGTGGCTCTGCAGTTTGTGACAGAACCAGAACTAGTCGTGAATAGGGCCTATTAGCATTTGAGACGTGTGAGACATGTTTATTTCTGTGGTCTATACTGGAACAGCAGAGGTTAAAGATGCATTATGTAACTTTAGGTGTCTCCATGACGATATTGGTGTGCTTGGAATGTTCCTGCAGTGTGGCATGAACGTGTTGAAGCTGAAAACAAAACTGTGAATATGTTTTAATTTTGATCTTGGGACTGTGACAGAAACACAACCACCTGCATCTCTTGTCTTTGGTTTATTGCAGCTTCTTTATTGGACAAAATTAAAACACATTAAACCAGGACTAAACCAGGACTAAATCAGGTCTAAATCAAGTCTAAATCAGGACTAAACCAGGATTAAACCAGGATTAGATGAGGACTAAACCAGAAGTAACGTAGAACTACACCAGGGCTAAACCAGATCTAAATCAGGACCAAACCAGGACTAAACAAGGACTATACCAGGATTAAACCAGGACTAAATCAGGACTAAACCAGGTCTGACCACTGCAGATGAGGACCACCCCACAAGAGCTGCAGTTTTGGAGATGCTATGCTTATTTACATTCATTTTTACATTTATTTCTATATCAGTCTGTTGGATTTGGTCTTAGAGGGGGAAAAAAACGGCCATCAGTAATTATTATTTATCTTTTATTTTTATTTTTAATCGGTTAATGCAGATAGAGCCATCAGAGAAATCCACATCCAAAATCTTACAGTGACTTTTAACATTTTTAACAACAAGTAAGTTATAAAGAGCTTATACACATATGTACATTTTTACAACATAGAATAATAACAAAGTTTAGCTCAAACTCCAGTCAATACAATAACATAAAGAGAATATTAAAGTGGGACTAAACACCTGAACTCTGCCCACAGTCACGGTCCAGACAAGATCCAAAGTGGGCAGTGCCTGGACGACTAAACGGGAAAGTAGCTGTAAACTGGAAATGAATGAGTTTGTATTAACATGGTAAAAAGAATAAACTAAAGAAGTTATTGTTTAATGTAATTTCTATTTTATACAGTTTGGGTTCTTCTCACAGATGTATCGCTGGAGTGTGTTGCAGTGTTTATCAAACCAGCATTTGTACTCATAGCCATCTGTTTTCTCTCCCATCCTCACACAGTCTTCTCCTTCTGGATATTTATTGTTATATGTCCAATTGTCCGGTTCAGTTTGGGCTCCATTTTTAAACCAAAATGTTAAACTAAACCAAAGAAACAAAGGGGACAGTTCAGTCATATTCACAGGGGAATATTCAGAGTTTTTTCATGGCACAATGTTTAAATCTAAATCATTTCAACTGTGTATTTTTAGTGGTTAAATCTTACTTTGTGTCCAGTAAAGAGCCGTCGGTCCATTTCCACACACCCTCTGACTCAGAGTCTGTCAGTCCGATCCAGAACTTGTCTTCATTCTCTGTCATTAAATCTCTCAGTCTTTTATACAGAAAACTCTAAAACAGAAAATAAATGTGTTTAGTGTCAAAATGAGTCTCGATTTAACAATAAGTTTCATTCTTGTTCTCGATGGCAGCGATCAGTACAGAAAACAGAAGGACCTGCCTTAAATTGTTTTTTAGATACAACAATCTGAAAGTGTCTCCTTGAACAACTCTGCTCAAAACAGGTCAGGGGGGAGTTGACAAAATAACTTTTAATGACAAAACTATAAGGAGTTGGGTGATAAAATCTGGGACTTTTCCCATTGGAAAGTGTGTGAAGCTCCTAGAATTTTTTCAGTCAAATCTGAGATGGTCGGACGGGGGCATTTGGAGATTTGGTGTGGAATGACCCAGAAATCTCCAAACACAAACCACAAATGTGAACTATTATTCTTAGTAATTCACAACAGACTGTGTAAATGGACATAGTTAATGCAGTAACATCCCAAATAGGAAGTGAGCATGGGCATGCTTCTGGCTCCATCATCTCTGATCTAGTTCACTTTCTATTGAAAACTGCTGCTGTGAGCCTCGTCATTTTGGTTTTAAAATGTTTGTATTAACCTGCTCCACATGATCCTGGTCTTTTTATTTCGCTGTTTTGTACATAGATCAATACAAATCAGGAGCTTTCTTTTCCCAAAGTTGCTCTCGCTAGTGTTAGCAGCAGGTTTGATTGACAGCGCTGGGAAGGGGCGTTACCTTCAAGAGCCTCGTTCAGGATTGGCTCTTTGGTTGTTATGATACTCGTGGTCGGAATTCTAAATATGGAACTCAGCTCCAGATTTGCCGCTATAACTGCAGCCTCAATGAGCTTCATTTGACTGGAGCTGAATGCTGTGGGTGACGTCACACTCACTTAATCCACTTTTTTATACAGTCTATGAGCTCAACAAACAGAAATGTTGTGAGTCTTTGTGATCAAATACAACTTCAAACCTATAATGTTAAACTTTTGAGCCATTTTTGTTTCACATGAAAAACTCCAGTAATTACAAACATATTAAACATAAACCAGGTCAAAACATTTACATTATAACAAAGGCCAAATCCACCATAAATGTTTATCTATTACCTGCTCTTCTCTGCTGTTTATCTTCACCAGGTGTCCACCCAGAGTTACACATTCCTCCTCGCTCTGGGTCCATGTTAATTTATTTGTGGAGAAATAATAACACTTTGTTCCATTCAGCTCCCAGCCACTGTCACACTGGTATGTACATGGAACTATGGAGACAGAGTGAAATAATCAGTATTAACTTAATATGTATTTATTTATTTGATTTGATCATTACCTTGGGTGGTAGTAGTACTTTTAGTAGTTGTAGTAGTCGTTGTAGTAGCCGTAGTAGTCGTTGTAGTAGCCGTAGTAGTCGTTGTAGAAGCTGTAGTAGTCATTGTAGTTGTTGTAGGACTAGTAGCCGTTGCCGTCGTGTTTGGGGTTGTCGCAAGAAATTTATGCACTAAACAAAAATGAGCACAAATATTTTTCTTTTAAACTTAGTGATGAAATGATAACTAAACCAGGACTAAAGTTGGACTAAACTGACTAAACTCAACTGAGATAAAACTGAGATGATAAAACATGTGAAAAACAGTATAGTACAGGGATGGGCAATCTACGGCCCTTTAAACCTTTTAATTTGGCCTGCCGAACTTGAATAAATTATAATAATAAACCTTGTTAATGTTTTATTTTTCTGCAATTCCGGCGTTACCCAATAGATGCCACACTCTAGATACATTGACCTTGTTGTTGAGGTGCGGTGTAATATGCTGCATTCATGTGGTTGTCAAAAGATCCGACTTGCTGAGTTGTTTTTCCGATTTGAGGAGGCGTTCATGTGAATTTTCCCGTGGTAAAGTCATTTTTCCGATCATTCCAACACCACATGAACGCATCCTGAGAATCCCCACAACAAAACTAACTCTAGACTTTGATGCACGCTGGCTAAAAAGGGACACCAACAACACTGTTTCCACTGAAATCAAAAGTAAGTTTCTCTGCTGTTTTGTAAAAAATGCATTTACGTGTTACACGTCATTTCTGTTAAGGTGTGCATTTAAGTTGTCCAGGTGCATGTACGTTCTCATTATAAACAGTGCACACCAGATCAAATACAATATAATATGTTCGCATACTGACACGCTGTCACTGTTCAGTCCTTGCATTGGTCTTTGTTGAGTTTTGGCTCTGGGGACGCACTTTGAATAGAAGTAAATCTGCATCTCCTACCATTTTTGAAATAAAGACAGTCAGGAGGAGAGTGATGATGATAATATCTAGAACGGGTGCTCACACTTTTTCAGCATGCGAGCTACTTACAAAATGACCAAATCAAAATGATCTACCTAATACAAAGCCAAGCAAACTGCACTGAAACACTCTGTGCCCCTTTTTTGGACCCTCACCCACAGTTTGAGAACCCCTTCTGTAAGAGAACTTCCTCTGGCACTTTACACAAAACTGTGAAAAAAGTGAAGGAAGTAGGTAAGATTTTTAAACCTGTTTTTTAAAGTTACAAACTGGAGTTGCATTCTTTTCTGGTTGTGCAGTGATATTTACCAGCCTCTGCACGTTTACCAAACCAAACGCACATTGTGACAAACATTGCATTTGTGCACTTTTGTTAGGCAAACTTCAGCCAAATGTGGCAGTAGGTCTGTTCTGTAGATCTGCTCTATGCTGTAGACCTGCTTTGTGCCAACACTGGAACACACATTTAGGCTGCGTTCAGACTGCAGCCTGAAGTGACCCAAATCCGATTTTTTGGCTTCTATGTGACCTGTATCCGATCTTTTAATGACAGTCTGAACGGCACAGATCCGAATTTTTCAAATGCGACCCAGGCCACTTGGATATGTGGTCCTGAATCCGATACATATCCGATCTTTTGACATGCGACTTCAGTCTGAACGGCCAAAGCACATCCATCCGACCTACACGTCATTAACAAGCGACAAACGTCACTATTCTGCGCTGAAGCAGGCGGAAACCGGAACTGTAAAATCGCCAGGTGCTCAATGCTCGCGACCATATTTGGACAACTTCTGTAAACACAGAGCACACTCACTGCGGTTGACGCATGGGGTTGACGTCATCGTGTCCTCCAGTGCGTGTGCGGGACACTTTCGGGCCGTTTACCGTTCACACTGAAGTCACAGACAAGTGGCATTTAATTGGAAATGTGAACGACCTCGCAAAAACATCGGATTTCACAAAAAAATCGGAATTGAGCATTAAGCCCTGCAGTCTGAACGTAGCCTTAGACTCGTTTTTGCTTCACGTTTGGTCTTGCTCTTCTAATCAGCCGCACTGTGGGAGGGGCTTGTGTTCGCTGTACGCAGGAAGGAGCGAGAGCGTGAAAAGGCGAGGGGCGGCATGCTGACGTGAGGCAGATGGACAGGTAGGATGTTTAGGAACGTTGAACCTGCCCTGTGATGCACGCTGGTACACGAGGGCACACGCTGTTGCAGACGAGCCGTGCATAGGGAGCGTGTGTGTTTGTGATGTGCCGTGGGTTTCAAATGAGCGCACAGGCTGCACTGAGACGCCCCACACGCTCCTGCACCCCGCTACAAGTTTATTACCAACAGCAGCGGCCGTAATGAAATATGATCGCACTTGTTGAGTGTCAGACCTTGAGTGAGAGACAAGACTGAGTCCAAACGCGATCGAGTCCGAGACGAGTACTAAGACACGGCGATCTACCCACACGACCTTGGCGATCGACTAGTAGATCACGATTGACGTATTGCGCACCCCAGATCTAGAAGGATAACAAAACTTTCAGTGCTTTAAAATAGTAACTCTTAGTAATAAAAAAAAGCTGTATTTTTTTATTAATTTGATTTTCATTGTTTTAAGAGTAATTTCAATAAATAGTAAAAAATAAAAAAATAAAAGACTTGAAAGACAGATATTTTGTGGTAATGCTTTGTAATGATTTTCAATTGAACTTCAAGCACAGGTTTTCTACACATCCCATGTTATTTATGCTCCTGGTCCGGCCCTTAAGTTAAATTTTAGAACCCTTTGTGGCCCACGAGCCAAAAGTTTGCCCACCCCTGGTATAGTACAAGGTCAAATACAAGGAGACCGTAGAGTTAAACCAGGACTAGAACTGGACCAAACCAGGTCTAGATCAGGACTAAACTGGGCTCAAATCAGGACCTAGTCAGGACAAGTGCTTAAAATCGCACCCTAAACCAGCAAAACCCAAAAGGAACAAGAAATAATCCAGACAAAACTACTGTACTGCCATTGAATAATATTTAACAGAGCTTTATGACAGGGAAGACAATTAATTTCATGTGGTAAAAACATCTACGTTCAACATTTAACTAAAACTCTTTCCACTTTGAGAATTGAGGTCCTTGCACAGAATGGAATTTGGATGGAATTTGGATGGAATTTTCTGCGCTGATAAAAAATAAATAAATGTAGCACTCCTTCCTGTTTTTAGAGCTACTATTAGTTTTACATTTTTGGTACCCACTTTAAACTACCACAAACCAATAATATTACCACACAACAGTCATATGAAACTTACCGCTGGTCACTGCCACTACACCAATAACGGCGAGCACCAGAACTCCAATGAGGATCCCAATAATCACTCGTTTTCTCACATTTGAAGTTCCCTGCGAAGGAGGCTTTGGTCGGGGGTCTGTGAGAGCACAAAATATATTAAGAATGTACCAAAATATGTGTGTAAAATATGTGTAAAATTATTTATAATATAAAAAAGGAATGTTAAAAGAGGAACTGCAACCTCTTTTGCAGATGTGGTCACAAAGAGACAAGTGTAAAAGACGTGCAGTCATGCATTTCTCACCATATAGTACTGACATCGACTCAATACTCAATACACAATACACAATCAAAAAATCTTTCACAAAGCCAATGTGAGGAGCAGCCTAAAAAGTCGATGTGTCTCTTGATATTTTTATTGGTACTATTTAGAAGTCTATTACCATTTTTATATATAGTTTTTTTTTACTCTTTGTGAGCTTGTGTGAGCTACTGTGTCCAAATAATTTCCCTTAAAGTCCAGAATTATAGGAAAATATAGAGAAATACAATATACTACGTAGCTTACTTTAGGGATCTTACAAATTTAACTACAATCATTATTTTATACGAAGTGTCTGCATGTGTGTATGGATGGAACGAAAAGATATAATTAAGCAGG